AAATGTTTCACATTGTCACATACGTCATAAATTCAGCTTGTCCTTAAATTCATCTTGAATGGTGTTGATTTGAATGTAGTTGACTTGAATCATCATCAAAATCATCTCCTGGGAATGCAGGAACATTTCCATCAATCTCCCCCTCATTGCTTTCAGACTTGTTGATGTTTGATGTTTAATTATGTATAGTTTACTTATATGTATTTTTAGTTGTTACATGCGTTTTTTACTAAATAGTTCCATGTTAACTATTATAGTACTAACATATGAAATTTTGTACAGTTTAATGAAATTATACAAACATAATGACATTTAGTAGACATCCAACACATGTATAACATTATTTCATGACAACAGTATGAGTATCATCTGACCATCAATACCATAAAAATTATGTGAAAGCATATACTCCTTTTGATTGTTAAAGGTCAATAAGATACACGCAATAAAAAGCCATATGTAAAACTCTCGAACCCAATATCCAATTTTTGAATTACTAATTGAAATAAAAAAGATCCAAAATTTCTCTTACTAACAAATAAGAGAGTAATAAAAATCATTGTTTGACATTTGAAGAAGTACAAAATACATGCAGTCAAGTACAAAAGAGCAAAAGAGTAATTCAGTTTTTCAAACAGATTATATGTACAAACTAATTTCTTCAAAGTGAAGATTATCCAAATGTCAACCATTGTTTCTATATTAATAACAACAATGACATAAACAATAACTCTCTTACACATTAATTAAAATATCATTTATGGTTTTTATTAATCAAAATACATTTTCTGACCCCGTATATAATGTCATTATGGTTTATATTAAGAACTCACAACACATCAACATCCCTTCACTTTTGCTTTTTAAGGTATCAAAGAACAAACAACAAAAATGATGTAGTTCTACCTAACTACATCATCGTTAATAAACCCAACTTCCAATTTGAAACAAAAATGAAATGACTAATTGAAATTATATAAAAAATAAAACACATGTATCATTTAATTAATTGGATAATTATTGCTTAGTTAGTTAATTATGAACAGAGGGATTAAATAGTAAATTGATTCATTCATCTTAAAAATAAGTATTCACTACAAGAAAAATTGTGATTACCTACAGCACAAATTCGTATGTAAGCAAGAAAATCCGTAGATAAATTTAGATTACCTACGAACAAAAATTTGTAGGTAAATCCCTCGTAGGTAATAATTACCTACGAATTTTCAATATCCATAGGTAATATCTGCAGGTAATTACCTACAGATGTATTCATATGTAATATTCGCAGGTAGTTACCTACAGATATATCCGTAAGTAATATCCGTAGGTAATTACCTACGGATATATCTGTAGGTAATTACCTGCGTATATATCTGTAGGTAATTGAAGTATCTACTACTCTCCATTCTTTTTGCATTATTCTGATTGCATTGACCTGGACATTAAATGATATATAAAATTATCTAGAACCACAAGTTCATAACCAGAAAAAATAAAATGATATATAAAATAACATAACAATTTATTGTTCCAATACAAAATAAAAACGTCAAATATATCCAAATATAATGAAGCATATCCAATAGAATTTCGTAAAATGCTAATAATCCATATAATCATCATCTGCAACCTTCTCTTGATCTCCATTGTCTTGATTAATTGGTTGTTGCAAAATATTTTGTGTTGTCGTTGCTGCTGGAGATGGTAAGTATTGAAGGACTGCGCCAATGAATGTCTGGATGGACTCAAACTGGGAGCTCATCATACGAATCTTTTCCTCACTACTTTCCAATCGCTGCTCACTACTTTCCAGTCGTTGTGTCAGTTGACTAATTTTCTGTGAATCAGCTTTCTGACTGGAGCACGCTTCTGTCTGTTGTAGATAACTTTCAACACAATCATCACTAGAGTCAACATGACCAACTCCATACACGCGTCCCTTATACCTTCCTCCTGCAACCTCTAACCAACATCTATTCCTTAGCCTTTCCTCTTCAACAGGGTCTAGGGGAGTGCATTGTGAAGCAACCACATTAGAAGTTGACTCAGACAATACTCGAGAATATCTACTCTCAAAGTCTTCCTGTTCAAACAAGACAATTTGTACATGTGTCTTTTAAATAATAAAAAACTTTAAGATTTAATGAAAGAAACTCACATGTGTCCGCCTAGACCTATCATCGACGAATTCGCCAGTACTCTTTCTTATATGCGTTTGTTGAAAAACTTCATCCACATGGACTGAGCGACCGAGCTCCTCTGTCTAAATAAAAAAACATAAAATATGTTTTTACCAAATAATTGTTACATCATAAATGAATGATAAAAAATATTTAAAAATTCATACCAAACGAATGGCGTGTTCGTGCACACTAATTGATCCGCCAGTGTGCAAACTTCCCCCTTTATCGGATGCCCGATTTTTCTTTGATGTATAACATTTTGATCGATATAGAGGCATGTTCCACTGTTCCAAGAGGTTGTTCCATATATTATTTCCAATCCAATCAGGCTTCTTGCCTTCTCTTCTAGCCTCTTTAAACATCTCTGAAAGTCTATGTGAAGCCTTGGAGTGGAAATTTTTCTTAATTCTTTCCTCATCCTCAGATCTCCATGTCACCTTCCTCTGTAAAACATAGTGAACATTTCCAACCTGGTTATTTTGATTCAGATTTTTGAAATAGAAAACAAAAGGAAAATGAGAATGTAAAACATTTTTTCATATCAAACAGGCCCTTTGAACTTATCCTAAAATCTGGGCAAAGATGCATTTGTCATGGCAAAAGCTTTTTTCATATCAAACATTAATCAGTAAAGTGTCATTTACAACATCATCAAAGGTTGTTGAAATCAGCAACAAAATTGGCTACAACAATGACAATCCAGCATATAATGAATGATCACAAAAATATTGAATTTATTCTTTCATATTGTGTGTTCTTGCAATCTCAATAATATGTTTGAACTTATTCTGTCATAAGTTTCCTTTGCATTTTATTCTTTGAATTTTCATAAATTCCTACAACTAGAAAGTTATATACACATGAAACCTAGATACATAAAATCGAATAATAATGAACAAAAACTAAACCTAAACCTGAATCGAAGAAATGATAAGTAAACATGTGAATGTGAGCACCACAGAGACCAGGACCAAGGCACGACACAAACCTGTGGAGCACACTACTAAAAATTCTCATTTTTCATGGGAATATTTTTGCAAATTTTTTGTAAAAATTGCAAGAAATAAGTTTTTCTATAAATTTAAACAATTTTTTGCAAGAAAATTGGCAGAAAAAAAAATTAGTTTTCTAGTAGTGGCAGTTAGGGCAAAGACTATGTATAATAAGGGGAGCGACAACAACAACCAAAGCAAAAACGAAAAGTAATAAAAGCTATAATAGTGGGATCGACAATGATAATGTGATTCAGAGTGATAACGGTCACAACAAGGACAAATGAGAATGAGAGAGATGGTGAGTGAGCAAACTAGAAAAAGAAGAGAATAATGAGCAAGAAGGAGAAAGGAAGTGATAACAAAGAAAATAAATAGAAATATTTAAAGACATGGACAAACATAAATAATATTTTTTATTTAATTATTAAAAAAAATTAAAATGATTGTCAATGTATCGAGAACATATAATAATATTTTTAAAATGAGAATAACATCCAAATAACTCACCTTAAAAATGGAAATTTTAGTAGCGATTGTACTTGAGATTCATATTATCTTCTTCTTTTTTTATCTATCTTTATTTTGAAATTTATGATCTTTTTCTTGACTTAATATTATTTTATGATATAGTGGGTTTTTCTTTAATGATTTTGACCTTTAAATTTTGTTCAATTAAAATTGTGATTTAATATTTAATAATTTAATTTTTAGGAATGATATTTAAATTATTGGACAAATGTTGAACCTTTATTTTATATAAATTATATTATTGTATTTCTTTAAAAAGTTGTATGGTTTTGTTTTTAGTTCTCAGAAAAATTGAAACTTAAACATTTCAACATTTTACTCTTTAATATGATATTTATATTTAGATAAAGATAAATTTTAGTGTTGGATGAGTTCTTGAATTTAGACAAGTGAAAATATCAGTTTTTCTTTTTATAAGTTAAAAATCCTTTATGCATGTGAATTGTTTCACAAAAACAATTTTACTATTTTAATAATTTTGATGAATATTTTATTTTCTTAATATTTTTTTACAAATGGTTTTCTTTAATATGTTTGTTATATCACTTCATAAAAAACAATTTTACTATTTTAATAATTATATTTTCCTAATCTTTTATTTTCACAAATTATTTTTCTTTAATATGTTTTTTTATCACTATAAACTATGCAAAGACCTGCCTCTTACAAATTACTTTTTTCACATTTTTTAAATAGATATTTCAAAATTAATTTCATAATATTATGAAGTGTCAAAGTATTTATGGAAAAAAAGTGTCAAACTATGAAATAATAATGTAAAATAATATTGTAATAATTACATACAACCATTTATATATATATATATATATATATATATATATATATATATATATATATATATATATATATATATCCTGCTGTAATTATCAATGAAAAATAGTTAGATACTAATTGAACCCGACGATGAGAGTGACATGTAGGTTGAGGTTTGGCTCTTTGATATATGCTATAATGACTACTATACATACAACAATGGCCTTGTAATCTTTCAATGCTGGAAAGTGTCACAAATTTCTAGTTTATTTATACAGTAAGAGCCAAACTTTGTGAGTTATGCATCGTGATCGATATCATACATGACTCTTCTTTATTTTAATGGTACAAAATATTCAACAACCTCTAACTCAATTTAATATATATTACTGAGACTTGGCTCAACTTGAAGCCATTTTTCCTCGCACCATCCTCTCCTCAATTGAGTGCTAAAATAAAACCAGTGTTTCATCAAAGAACACTGCCAAAATCCTCCATATAGTAGTTTGGATAAATCATGGACGACGTTGGAAGCTTAAATAATGCACCCAAGAACAACACATGGAAATGGCCTCTCTTAATTTTCTTCAAGGATGCAAGGTACCTATAGATACATGTTACCATTTCATTCATGCTTTCATGTTGTGTTCATTCGAATGATAAACATTTTGCTACAGGAAGCATGAGAGAAAAGCGTAATTCATATAAATATACCAAAGAAATGCTAACGTTTTGTTCTGTTAATGTGAATGTAGTCTTGTTTTCAAGATGGATTCACTTGGGAAGGAGATACTAAGGATTGCCTTCCCCTCTGCACTGGCTGTTGCTGCGGACCCAGTTGCTTCTCTGATAGACACAGCTTTCATTGGCCACTTGGGTATTACTTTTCCTTCTCAACATCAAAATGTTTGCTTGCACCAAAGAAACACACAATTAATTTACAATATTGTTTTCTCCTTCAAGTCGTTTCAACTTAAATATGAAATTTAGATCCGTGTTTGAATTAATTCAATGTCAAATCAACATAGACGTAGGTTTGTGTTTCTTGTAAGTTATTCAAATCCTAACTCACACTATTCCAACAAACTGAAAACAATTCAGATCTTATACTATGGTAACATCAAAGTGACAAGTGATTTGAGTCCTTAATGTAGCTCTTTAACGAAATGTTTAGTTTTCTGCTGTGTTTAGGACCGGTGGAACTTGCTGCTGCAGGAGTTTCTATTGCTTTGTTTAACCAAGCTTCGAAGATTACCATATTGCCTCTGGTTGGTATTACAACTTCCTTTGTTGCTGAGGAAGACACCATTGAAAAAATTAGAAACACCGCAGTGGAAAACCATGGCACTGAAAATAATATGGCCAAGTCAAGAGAAGTAGTGCTGCTAGAAGACATAGAGAATAGTGCAGCCAAAGAGTATAGTGACACAAACCAGCACATGGCAAAACGTTCTGAACATGAGAGTATGGAAAAGAATGCTATTTTTAAAAACAGCACTTATAACGTCCCTGTGTGGCTTTGCCTTCCTATGTTTTCTTATGTGTCCATGTTGTTATAAATTTGCGTCTGATGCATAAGCGCAGTCCTAGGAAAGAAACTTATGTGTCACGTTTGATTTTATCATAACACTAGAATTCAATGTTATAACTGATTTTCTTTTAGGTGCCAATGCAAACATGTGTAAGTTTTCCTCGTTTGGTAGTAGCAGTGAAAAGAGTATGTCAAAAGTTGAAAGGAAGAAGAGACAAATAGCTTCAGCCTCAACAGCACTACTTTTTGGCACTACACTTGGCCTCATTCAAACAGCAATCCTTACTTTTGCAGCTACACCTCTGTTAAGCTTGATGGGTCAGAAACATGTACGTTTATCTTACCTCATTTTTCTAGAATATGTATTTGGCCCATGAGTTTTTTAACAAGAACTTTTAGAAACAAAAATATATAAATTAAATTCATATGAGTGTAACTTTATTAATTAGACAGTGGAGATATTTTTCCTTTGTTGTAGGATATGCCCTCGCAAATCCTAGCAGTGAAGTACTTACGATTGAGAGCCTTAGGTGCTCCTGCAGTGCTTCTCTCCTTAGCCATCCAAGGAATATTTCGAGGGTTCAAGGACACCAAAACTCCTTTATATGTTATTGGTAGGTTCAAGTGATCCACTCATAAATTTTTTTTATATTTTGTGTTAAATTTTCTTTTTTTATACACATCATGGAGGGACTCCCACCACGTTTTCACTAACTTGATTCATTTGTATACATGGTTTTATGTAGTTTCGGGATATTTATTGAATATTGCTTTGGAGCCAATACTTATTTTTCGCTGCAAATTGGGTCTCAATGGTGCAGCCATTTCACATGTATTTTCTCAGTGAGTGTTGCTTGCTAATATTCTAACAATGCTTAAGCATTTCTGTTCAGAGAACTTAAAAAAAATAATGGTGATCCTTTCCAGGTACATAATGGCGTTGACCCTCTTGTTAATATTAACGACAAAAGTGGTTCTCCAACCTCCAAGCATTAAAGATTTGCAGATTATCAGGTTTCTTAAAAATGGTACGATGGAAGCTAGAATTAAAGGTTTTAGAGGAAACATGAAATCTCATTTTATGAAAGAATAGGAACTAGCAACAAAATTGTCATTGTACTTTAGTTTCAACATAGTCATCAAGCATATGTTGATCACATAATAAGCTAGAATTTACTGACGTTGGAATCTGTTTTCATCTTCAATAGGAGGTGTGCTGTTAGCCAAAGTAGTAGCATTGACATTCTGTGTGACCTTGGCATCCTCTTTGGCAGCACGGTTAGGCCCCATTCATATGGCTGCCTTCCAAACCTGCTTACAGGTCTGGTTGGCATCTTCCCTTCTTGCTGATGGTTTAGCTGTTTCTGTACAGGTAATTAATCATATGGTGGCTCCAAAATTTTTTTATGAAAATATAAACTAATCTTTTCTTGTGACTCATATAGGCAATTCTAGCTTGTTCCTTTGCTGAGAAAGACTATGGGAAGGTGACAGCTGCTGCAACAAGAACACTGCAAATGAGTTTCGTTTTAGGAGTGGGGCTCTCTGTTGTTGGGGTCGGATTATACTTTGGAGCTGGAACCTTCTCCAATAACGTTCATGTTAAGCACATTATCAGAATGGGCGCGCCGGTATATATAATTCTTGCATGCTTTTGAATTGCCATTGTGGTGTGGTAACCATTAATTGTTGCTTCAAACTATTATACATGTTTCACGACAGCATTATTTAGTGCCGCAATAATTTAGAACCATGATTCCTTGTATTATAGCAATGTGTTGTCGGATCTAAATTAATGTAATCAACCAGTTTGTTGCTGTCACACAACCAATCAATTCACTGGCCTTTGTCTTGGATGGTGTGAACTATGGAGTATCAGATTTTGCATACTCCGCATACTCTATGGCAAGTTGGCGTGCCTTTTATACCTTTCTATTTTGGCCTTTCTCAAAACATATCGTGATCTATTCAAATTTGTTGAGTAAGTTCCCATGCACTTTCTCAGGTCATGGTTTCATTAGCAACAATTGCATCACTGTTCCTTCTCTTCAAAAGCAATGGATTCACTGGGATATGGATTGCACTAAGCATTTTTATGACTCTTCGCATGTTGGCCGGAATATGCAGGTAAATTTTCCACATTCCAAGAGCAAGCAATGATGCATGCATGCATTCACTCTTGATATTACTTGAAATTAAGATCATAATTAACCCGAATAGGTTACTAATTAACATGTTACATATTGCTTAATATTTTGAATAAAATTATTTTCATAAGTTGTATAAGATGTATAATGCATATGCAGGATGGGATCAAGAACAGGACCGTGGCGTTTCCTCAGAGGCTACTCATTGTCGTGATGACATGAAACTAAGTTCATTTCATTGTTGAGCAGCAAATGTTTTCCATCACTCTTCTCCATTTTACTTTTAATTACTGTCATTCTTAAATATTGACAATATCCCAATTCTACTAATTAGTATCGTACTTTCTTTATATATTATTTTGTTGACATAATTCTCTATTAATTTAACTAATATGATATAACTTTGTTATCTATCAAATATTAGTCTCCTTAATATGTTTCAGAATGTAAACACAATCTCTCTTTACACCCAGTATAAGATCAAACAGTACTATACAAAAGATTTTTCATATGTTAAAAAATGTTTTACATTTTATTTCCTCCGTTATAGATTCAGAAAATGTGACATAATTTTTACATTAGTTCTAATGATAACTTATGTAAAAAGTCAATTGATATTATAATTTATGTAGAAATATAGAGAGAGAATTTATTTACTCATTCAGTAAGAGTAAGAGAAGTATTTTTAAATTATGTAAGGTAAAAAATCAATTTTAAATTGGAAGGAAAAAACAAACTAATCCCAAATTTAACAAATGGAAAGCATATAAACTTTATGAAAATCCTAGCTAATTAAGCTAGTTTATGACTTTTATTATTTTATTTTTAATGAAAAAAATTAGGACATATTATCACAATGCTAATTTTTTTATTGTCAAACACTGTATGAAGAAATTTTATTTAACATAAACTAGGTTAATCATTAATTTTAATCGTTTTCTAAATTTTATGTTTTAAAACTCTTAAATAATATATAATAAACGTCAAGTAACAATTTTAGTATTTTAGAATTTTTAAATATAATTCTGATATATATATATATATATATATATATATGTGTGTGTGTGTGTGTGTGTTAACATATAATTAAAATATCTTATATAAATAATTATATTATATTTTTCAAATGGTTTTCAATTGTTTTTATACTTAACGTTTAATAAATATGTTATTTGGTTATGATAAGAACTTACATTTCAAATCAACTGTTTTGACATTTAATAATATAGTATTGTCAAAATTAGTATGTAAACTTTGTTAATTCAATATTAGTAAAATAACTATCAAAACTATATTTATTAAATGTCGGGTATCAAGAATACCTTTTTTTTAATAACAATTTAAGAGAGGTCAAGTTAGGAGATAAAAGCATCATAATAGTGTAATTTATGTAAAATATTATCGAAAAAGTAAATTTTTAAAACAATTATTGGATTAGAATAAGTGATATTTCATCACAAAAAAAGTGTACTTTTAAGTATGACCTTTTTTTTTGTTTTAAACTTTTTTTAAAGAAATCATATTGCAGTGCACAATTTTATTTTATTATTTGAAATAAAAAGTTTTGATTCATATTCAAGTTTAAGATAATTATCTTTTGATAATTAAGTTAGAAGTCGTGCTGATTGTAATTTTTTAAGTGCTGTTCACACACAGGACATGAAATCGTTATCGTAAATACTTCTGTAAAAATTTCTGTAAACTTTGAGATTTATTTAGTCATTGAGATATTATGTAAAGACTACTCTATAACAGTGATGTTTATAATAGTGATATTTTGCTAATAGAAGTGTTATGATTTGATATTATTATGTAAATCACAAATTCACACATTTTTTTTAAGTTATTGGGTAGTGAGATAGGGCATAAAAGTGGAAAAATGAATATTTATTGAGAAGTGGTGTAAATTTTTTTTTTCAAATATTAAATCCTAATAATAATTGTAAAAGTTCTCCCTCCCATTCAATCTTTTGAAGAGATCCCTCTACAAGTTGCTTCTACGTCCTCGATTCTTATAGCATTTCTTTTTACGTAAGTTAACTAAAATTTCAGCAATTTCTACATCCTCGTGAGAAAACGCTAAATTCAACGTGGACCCTGGGAGATGGGTCTGCACGAAAATCAAATGTCCATGCATGGTGTTAACTACTATTATTCCACTCAGAGAAACATGTAGAAGCTGAAAACTAGAGACTCAGCAAATCAGACAAATGGGACTCACATTCAAACATGATTTTTCCCTCCGATTCTGTGAATTAACGTCGCCGCCAACCCTCTTCAACGACGACCGCTTGCTTTTCTTCTCGCTGCCTCCGTTATCAAACGGCGATTCCCGCGCTTCTTCGTCCTTCTCCCTAACAACGTCGTTCTGGCGAGGAAAAACCCTATTCTTGTACGAGAAGCGCTCGTTGATCTTCCCTTTAAGTCCGTCTTCCAACAACGATTCCAGTACTTTTTCCTCCTTCTCCCTAACGACGTCGCTAAGGTCATAAACGAACTTCTTCTTTAACATCGGCCTCTTGTTTATCTTCTCGCCACGTCCCTCATCAAACGCCGATTCCCGCTCTTCTTCTTCCTCCGTAACGACGTCGTTCAGGTCAAGAGCGAGTTTCTTTTTCAACGATGAGCACTTGTTTTTCGTCTTGCCATCTTCTCGGTCTTGTAACGGTAATTCCAGCGTTTCTTCGTCTTCTGCGGGGACCTTGTTAAGATCAAGAACGATCCCCTTCCTCTTCCCCACCGTCGAGTCGTCAAACTTCGTCTGCGGAGATCGCCGAGCTTTTGTGGAAAGTCCGGCACCGATGGTGGCTTTGTTTGTAGGTTCCAAGAGGTACTGACGTGGAACCCTCTGTCTATCTTTTGTAAAACCTGGAAACATGGTAAGGGATAACACGCAGCCAAAGAAGGAAAAACAGAAAACCTGACGCTGCGGTGAAGTTTGACAAAGCTCCAGGTTTTGGAAACAAGGAAATTTAAAGGGGATTGAAGGCAGAGCCCACGCCAAAAAAATAAAAAATAGGAAGGTAGTGGGTGATGATACAGCGCAGTAATTAAAACAAGCTCCAAATTTTAACTTATTTTGCAATAACTGATTTGACGGGCCCCAAACTAATCCTTCCATCATTTGTTGTATTTTTTTTTAAATATATTTTATTTTAATTTTAATATATAAATATCTTTTAAGTTTCATCTCATCCTAATTTATCCCATTAGTAAGTTACATAATAATAAAAAAACAAATTGATAGATTAAAAATATTGAAAATCAGACTTGATAGACTAGTTCAACCGATTAAATCATTTTTAAATAATTAAACTTTAATTAAATCAGACAAAATTTATAAAAATAAAAAACTAAATGTATTTAAAACAAATTATGATTAATTTTTTACATATAATTTGTTATAAAAAATATAATATATTTTAATTTTTTAATCTCATATTAATTAAATTTAATTTAATTTAAATAATAATTATTTTATTATAATTTAACAAATATTTTTTTATATATTTCTAATTTTTATTGTAATTTATATTTATCATTATATTAATTTTATTTATTTTTCTTTTTTATATAAAATATTATTACTAATAAATTTATTATATATTTATTTTATTAAAAAATTATTTTATTAAATTTAATTATACTTCAGTTAAATACATAAATTTTGAACTAAAACACTGATTAAAACTAATTATCCGGACATTTTAAATCCTAAATTTAATCTGTCTTGACATCATATTTAAATAAACTTAAAAATAAGCTGAAAGGGGTCTCAAAACGAGATGACAATCAAATAAGAAATAAACAAACTCATATTTCTTCCTTTGAAATTTTAATCTAGAACATTTATTAATTCACTTTCTTTTTTTTAAGTTCTTAAAAAGTAGTTTCATTTCTTAATTTTTAAAATTATTTTTAAAAAATATTTTATAATTTTATTTTTGATAACTATTTTAATATAAATAATCATAAAAATTATGATAAAATTTAAAATAAACTGATAATTTAATAATAATATAAATAAATTATTTGACATAATTAATGAATAAAATATTGATATTTATTAATAAAAACAGAAGATTATAATAAAAAAATTATCAGTTTTTGTTTTTTAGTTTCCAAAACCTAAAAAATAAAACAATTTTCAAATTTTATTTTAAGAAAATATTTGGTAAAAAAATTAAAAAAAAACTAAAAATTTGAAAACCGCTTTTAAAATAATAAATAAATAAATTTATAAACCAATGAAATTTACAATGAATTATTATTTTACTTTATATCCTTCGATTTAATAAATAGGTAATAAAAATATTCAGTCGTAAATATCTGTGAAAGATACTCATTTTTATTCATGTAGATTTTATTTTCACATATCATCAATAAATTACGTATCCTTTCAATAAATATTTTAGTAACCGATTTTGATATATTTTTTTAAATAATATTTACTCAATTAAAAATATAATCAATTATCTTACTAAAATATTTAATATGATATTGAAAATTTTAATGTTACTAAAATATTTTTGAAAATATTTAATATCTTATTATAAATATAATTAACTATCTTAGTTATTTGAATATCATTATATTTAATATTTTACTAAAATATTTAATATGATATTGAAAATTTTAATATGTTACTGAATATTTTTAAAAATATTTAATATCTTATTATAGATTTAATTAATTATCTTAATTAGTTGAATATCATTATATTTAATATTTTACTAAAATATTATACAGATAAATTAAATTAATAATATTTTTTAAATTTGATGGTTATTTTTTTACTAAAATTTTAATCATTAAATTAATCATTAAAAAAATTATTATCAAAGATGACTGAATTTTTTTATCCCTAAATTCCATCTATAAATATTTGAAGAAAGAAATGTTTCTCCATTAACATATATAATTTTGATTTTTTTTTCTAACCCGAAAGTTAGGTAAAGTATTTTAATTTATAATGAAAGTTCTACTGGTTATATGGAAATAAGTAGTTTGATTCTTTTGTTAAAGTATATTAAAGGGAGTTTTTAATGAGAATTGTTTAAAAATAAAATTAAATATTTTATTACGGATCTAACATTTTAGTTGCTTAGAGTATCTCTAAAGAAAGTTATTTAAAAATAAAAGTAAATATTTTATTGTGGATCTTATATCTAAGTTGTTTAAAATTGAAAGAAAATTACTTGTATAAGCAACTTAATTATGATATTTATAATAAAATATTCAATTTTATTTTTAAGTAATTCATGCTAAAAACTCTCTTTAAAAATGTTCTTAAAATTGAGTTAGATTTTTTTATCCAAACAACTTTATTCATCTTTAAATGTAAGATATAAGACAAAAAAATATCCAATTTCATTCATAAGAAATTCTTCATAGCAATTTTCTTTAAAAATTCTCTAGTTCTAACCCATATTGCATAAACCATATTATTTAATGTTGTTGCCCAAACAAAAATAAATCACTAAATATTATATTTATTTAAATTCTTAAATAAACTCTTAAATAACTCTGATTGTTTTCAGAGAATTAAGATTAAAAAGCATAGGTTATATGTTTCATAATAATAGTTAAAAACATGATTATCAAACACACCTAAATTTCAACCCTGTTAAAATATGATTTTCTAATATTTATGTTTTTGTAAATATAAAAATAAAGTTAAATAACTTTTTAGTTTTATTATTTTTTATTTTTTTCAATTTCATTTTTTTAGTATTTAGTCTCAGTATTCATATATTATTTTATAGAATAATGCAATATAATATTAATGTAATCATTGATATGCTAGCATGACTAATACATCATTAGTGATATGCATCAGTACTGTATTAGCATCATAGACGTCAAAAAACATGATTTTACTCTATACTAAATACATCAATTGGAAAACAAGACAGCATTTTTGTTTCTCTTTTATAAATATTTTTTTCAAACTATATTCTGTGTGTATACTTCCTTTATCGAGCTTTTATTTTCTTTCAACAATAATTGTTTATTTATAAATTTTTGTAAGTAGTTAGGATAATAATGTTGGCTCTCTTTCTTCTTCTTTTTTTCATGATTTGAGATATCTAATATGTTTCCTTCTTTGGTGAGTGTGATAAACATCAACCACAAATTTGGAACTCTTACTATTTGAGTGACTTTTACTTCCGAAAGTGTGGAACAAACAATAACAAAGGACGACGATAGGTGCTTCGCAGGAGACAATGGACAATGCTGGATGACGATTTCTTGGGACCTCTGTTTTTAGCTCACCACAATGTTCTCATAATAACATTTATAAATGATTCAACATAAATAAATAATAGACACAAGAAGGAATTATAGAAACAAAGAGTCGTAGAATATAGGATGAAAATAAATATCAACCTAAAAAAATTTTAAAATGGGTCGAAACGTTTATCTTTTCAGAAAATCTCAGATCTCACCATCTGTTTTGTCTTGTCCTGCATATTTTCCAACTCTGAATCGTTTTTATAACTGCAATAAACCGTCAACTTATACTTCTATTCGAAAACTGTTTACATACATATACTGGAACCTCCATTATCCATTCAAACAATTTTTCTAAAACGTATTGAAGCCTCTTATTTAACATCATTTTATCGAAAAATATCTTTTTGATCTCATGGAAACACTCTCCAATCATATATCTATTATCGACCTCTGTTTTCTCCTATAATATAACAACAATCGAACCAATCTTGATTATCGGAACAAACAAACTTCCGAAAGCGCAACACACATTTTTAGCTAAAAGATTTCTCAATGGATTCGTATTTGTAGTAATGTCTGTCTGCACATCTTCTGCATTTTTCAATTGTGCGAACTCGAAACAAAACTTAACGGTTGCAAATGTGTATATTTGTTTAACCCAATCCCCAATTTGGAAGTAGCAGCTTCATTTGCAAACAAGAAGAGGACTACATGACACTCCTACACTTTAAACCCTCACATAACTAACACGTTAAAACCAGACTACCAGCAGGTCATTTGAGCCTGATCCATGATGTAATTGGAAAACCAATACCCTAAAACACAGGCAGGTGGTATGATCAGAACAGTCACAGGGCCAAAATTTGCAGGTAGAATATTCTCAACCCATATATGAAAGTGAACATGAAAGTTTAGGTGAGCAATTTAAACAACTGTTATCATATTTGAAGTATAGTAATCAACAACTCTTGCTACACAAATTAGACAACTAAATAAATAAATAAGTAGGTTCCTTTTGCATAATGCCAAACCAGTACCAAATATAAAGAAACAGAGCATTTACTTGATGCTCCACCAAATTTTCAACAAGTTTGAACATCTAGCAACTGAAGTGAAACCCTAAAATTGTGATATTTCAGCTAAGCTTGTCTCCTTGAAGACACAGAACTAGATAAGCAGGGTACAGAGTAAGCTAATTACAGTCTTCTCTTCGGTGACAACAATTCAATTCTAAAGAAACTTTTATTAGTCTTATAAACAAAAGAATGAACTAATATCAATTCCACGTGTTAGTAACTGCAAAAAGTCAACACATACACCGGTCAAATCAAAACCCGGCATCAACTTTTCGCTTCCCAGAGTGACGGACCTTCCCATTATCAGCAGCTTCTGTAACCTTGTACAATTCGGGCGTAACCTCCGTCAACCACAACCCAGGTAAAAGCGTCTGCACATAGATGAAAATAACGGCATTAGGTTAAATTTTCCGATAACCGAAAAGCACAGCACTGCACAAAAATTCAAAGGTTGGAAACGCGACTAACATCCAACATCTTCTGCTGGACTCTGGGTCGCTTACTGGGTCTCCGAGGAGGGCGCTGGCCCAACATGGCCATGAAATCTTCCTCAATCTCTTTCTTTGATAGCTCCAAAGCAAACTTCGCCTTTTCCGTCTTGTCGGATCCGCTTCTCAATTGCGGCAACTTCGCCGCCAACGAGTGGTTTCGTTTCTTGTCGTCGATCAACACTTTCCCGCCACCTCCGGCGGGAGCGAGAGCCGGAGCCTCAACTTTCGCTCTTCTCTTCCTCAGATTCCATGGCCTCACAGCTTCTTCCTCGCTCCGTAGAATCGCGTCTTTCATTCTATCGGCTTCGGTCTTCAGATCAAGGATCAGCCTCTGCCGCACCACCGCGATCCCCTCGTCATCGCTCACGAGTCTCCGTTTTTCACCCCTCGCGCCCTCCGGCGCCTCGCTCCACGTGGCCGTTGATTCGTCGGAGTTTGACGCCGAAGAACCACGACCTCTGGCTCCTGTTTCGGTTGCGGTGGCGCACCTCATTCTACGCTGCGTTCCCCACTTCAAGAACGACAAGGAGAAATTATGCAGGGGGTTGGATCGGTTGGGAGTCGCCGGCGACATGGACTTGGCCCCTCTACTTTCTTCCGAACCGCGCAACACCATTTGGCGGAAGTGAGACGTGCCAAGAGGAAAAGGAAAGCAAGAAGAAGAAGCAGTGATTAAGGGTGCTGAAAATTTTTAGGGTGCGAAAGGTTTGAGTTTGGGTGGGATTTGGAAAGTGATGAGAGGGAGGAAAAGGAGTTTTATATGACAATAAGAGTAAGAGGGAAGGGAAATAGGAGGCTGTTTTGAACTTGGGTTTTCCGGTTTTTGGATTCGTTTATGTGTGTAAAATAAAAGGGTTTTATTTCATGTTTACTCTTAAAAGTTGGAGTAATTCCTAAGTTTTTTTTTTTAATTATAAAAATATGTGGTAAACTGAAGATTAAAGTCTAGTTTTTAGGGTTTTAAAGTTAAAGTAATGATTTAAAATTTCAGAAGGGATTCCATAAATTACTATGAGTACATGAGTCATTATTATGACACCTAAATTAACTTTTTTTTTTCAAATTTATAAACGAGTGCAAATTGAAAGTGTTTAAGTTACATTAGTTGTGTTCATGATTACAAAATTGATATGAACTTGATATACAGATATGAACTATATTTTTAATGAATTAAATTAATGAAGACATTTATACGGTTATCATTCTTTATAATTTAATCATTATTAGTTTTTAAAAATATTATAAAATTAAAAATTAAATCTCTATTATTATTATTATTATTATTATTATTATTATTATTATAATATAATTATTATTTTAGTTGAATGTGTAATTGCTCACATGATTTTGTTAGTCATATTAACATCACATATAATCAAATTGTCTGTGACTATGATTTCGTCAGCAGCAACACTTTTTCCATCTCTTCGTAATTATAAGCACATAGAAGAAAATGCCCTTCTATATCAAGTAAGAAATGATTGGTAAATACTCTGCTTTCAGTTTCATCACTTTATCAAGCATTATGCAACTCCTCCTCCTTCCCCCACCCCAATTGTGTCTCCAGTTCCGGAAGCTTCTCATAGCGCACGCCACGATCAGAGCCAAAAGACTAAACCTGCACTTTCTCTGACTCCTCCGATGTAGTCCTTTCATTTTCTTTCTCTTTCACACTAACATTCTTGTTCAAGAAAAGAGCTTTCTTAGAGTTAGGAGGATCTCTAGCGAGGCGTTCGAGTCAGTGATATTCGATACTTCTCTTCCTTTTTTGTTTCTTCATATCTTGGACGGTATAAGTTTGTACTTTCAACCTGGAGGGTACAATTCTCAAACACTGTTCTTGGATTTTCGTTCACCCATGGCAATAAACATGTGTTCTGATAAACCAAACCTAGGACTCAGCCCCCGCATTTCATTCTCACACGACCCCAAAAACACAGTCTCGGTTGAGGACCCTCTCCAACGAGACACCTGCGTGGTAGACTCGAGCTCGGAGTTTGTCTTCTGCGTATCAAACGGCGTCGCGCAGAAACTCTCTTCGGCCGACGAGCTTTTCTCGAACGGCAAGATCATTCCCACGCAATTCACCAGAGTTTCCATTCCTAATGTACCACGACACGAACCGCATCTCCATCATCATCAATACCAACACCATCAACTACAACAGCAACAGCAACAACCATCTTTGTTAACGACGCGCAAGAAGATGCTCAAAGAGTTTTTGTCCGAACCCGAAGATGACGACCTGGAAGAAGAGAGGCCCAATTCAGTTCATTCATCCAACTTTTTCTGGCGTAGCAGCAGCGTCAACTGTGACGGCGCCACGCGTGGGAAGGGCATGCTTCGTTCTTCTCTGCACTTTCTGTCGCGAAGCTATTCAACTGGGTCAGCACCCAACACGCCAAAACATGCGATTATTGCAAGGGAAAGCGTGGAGAGACATAGGCTGCAGAAACAGTCCTCTGGTTCCTCGTTGTCGTTGTCGTCTTCATCCTCAGCGAGTTCCAGTGCTTATTATTTCTATGATTCGTGTCAAAAGCCTTCCTTGAAGAAAAATTTTGGGTCCGCTTCTGGTAATGGGGTTCGAATTAGTCCAATTTTGAATCTGCCACATCACAAAGCCACTAGGAGCATCTTCGGATTTGGTTCACTGTTCTGCAACGGGAAGATAAAAAGGAAGAAATAGAAAGAGGTAACAATTTTTCTTTTTCGTATTTATGTATGCTTTTAATGTATCATCAATAGCCAAATCCTTAAGTAGAGACGATTTGCTGCTGAGTATGATTAGTTTTGGTTTTGCACTGTGCATATTTGTAAATTTTGAATATGATGAAGAAAAAGAAAGAAGTAGGAGAGTATAATAATGTGCTTCACCCACAGTCCCCTTGTTTTGAAAAAATAAAAATAAAAATTCGCTTCGTAATTAAATTTAATACACTGGTTATAAGTAAGCACAACTATTCTTAATTTAAAATTAAAACTAGACTTGACAATTTATTTATTTATTTATAGGTTAAGAACATAAATTTTTATAAATTATTTGATTTAGAATCTAATATTAACCCAATTAAATAGAGACATTTTCATTCATAAATAGAATATTTAATATGTATTATGTGATAGTGAAGATAGTGTTGCTTTATTCTTATTCTTTGTTCATTTATTGGTAAATGAAATATTTAATATGTATAATGGGAGGAGAAGAAAGTCATACTGAACTCTTACTTTTAATCATTAATTAAAAGATCGTTTATAAGTTTCATCTTATTTAAAATAGAAACAAAAATAATTTATATATATTTTTCTTTCTCTTAATCCATAATAATTTTTTTTAAACATACCGCCATAAACTAATTAAAATTTCAATACACAATTCTATCAAATATTATATCAGACAAGATATTGGGATATTCTTATTCTTAAATAAAACATAAATAATTTTGTTGTTGAATAAGATAAATTTTATTAATTTCACTTTTAATTCAATCTAATCTATTTAACTTTTATTAAAATTTGATTCAACTAAATTAATTAAGTCAGATATTTTGAAAAATATTTTTAAAATTATTAAAATTTGTAAAATAAATTTATTTATCTCTCTCTCTCTCTCTCTCTCTCTCTCATATATATATATATATATATATATATATATATATATATATATATATATATATCGCAAGCTACTGTATAATATTGACTCCTTTTTAATATATAAATAAATTTATTAATAAAATGATGGAGTAAATTTTTAATTGATCTTTATTACTTAAATAGTTGTAATTGAAAGAAGTAGATCAAACTTTGTTGGAAGCGTTGATATGAAAATATAATATCTATAGATTTGATTTCACATGTCAAATGTTAAACAATTTTTTCTATTAGTAGATAATCATTAAATGCTGTATTGAGAAACTTAGAAAATAAAAAACAAAAACAATTAAAATGTCACTAAGCAAAATAATTAACTTATAAATTACTTAAACTAGTAAAACTTAAATAATCAATAATGAAAATTCTATTGATCTTTATTATTTAAATAGTTGTTATGGAACATGAAATGGTTAAGCTTTGTTGGAAACTTTCGTTGAGATGAAAATATAATAGTCTACAGTTTTGTTTCACAATGTTCATCAATTTTTTCTATTAGTTGAAAATAATTAATTTATAATTGAATTAAACAAATCAATTAATTAATTAATTTAAAAATAAATTAAACAAACCAAAACAATTAAAATAAACCTCGAGTTTTGTAGGAAGTCAAGTTTCAATATATAGTTTTTCTACAAGTTAAATCCAAACTTTAAGAACTCTCTCATATAGTAGAACTATTTCAAGTAACATTTTTTTAAATGATTAATTTAATTATTAATATTATTTTTTAATATTTTATACTGTTTTTAGAAACTATGTTTCATATTTTTAAATAAAATAACTTTCATGTTTCAACTTAATTGTTTTTTTGTTAACTTAATATCTAGAAAATGAATAATAATATGTATTTGTGGTTACCCAGAAGAAGATATCATCTGCCATTAATTTCTGGTAATTATTCTTCTAATAAAATTATTAATTGATTTAAAATATTTTAAAAATTAATTTATATAGTATATATATATATATATATATATATATATATATATATATATATATATTAGAAAAAAAAACGACTAATTAAAATAACAAACGATTGTAAAAGATAATATATGACCTAACATGATAGCTTCTAAATAAAAGCTCCCATGACAAACTAATTCAAAATAATATTTTACAGAGTAATTATTTATTGATTATAAATTCAACAAACTTACATTGTTATTTTCTTAAATAATGGAATGAAAATTCTTGAGTCTTTCAGTGAATGTATTATTGCTAAAAAATGAATTTTTTGTTTGTTTGGAAATATGAATTTCATTGGGGGTGTCACTGTAATTTGCATAACGGAAAGTTACGGGTGAGGAATAAAATGGAGAAGATCAAATCATCCTTATCACCATGTTTAGGGCAAAGGGGACAAATAAACAAGGCTTCCTCTATCTCTCGTGGGTTCTTTCTTGCTGTTTCTTTTTTTTTTTTTTTTCAATCCTTTTCATTTTCTGTCAATAATTACATGTAGCTTTTTGTTTTTTGCATCTTGTTTTAGATATTGATTGTCTTTTTTTATGTCTACTCATCAATTGGTTATTGGATCCCTTTAGCTTTGTTGCATTTTGTTGTATTGTTGTGCTAGGAGCAAGGACAACAATGTAGTTCAGTAAAGAAAGGAGTTAGTTGAAAAGGGAAATTCATGATTATGACAGTATACATCATTAATTCATTTTATCATATCTAATTCGTAGTTTACCATGAAACCAATCACCCCAAGCATGGTCCCATCATTGTTGAACTGTGAAAAGTGTCATTAATTGAAGCCCTTAAATCAAATAGTACATAAAAAAAAAAGCAGCAACTTCTTCACTTTTGATTAATGTAGGAAAAATTGTTCCCAACTTTACATCACCCTTCAACTTTCTCTTCAGTGTGACTAATTCTTTAAGAAACTTTACATGTTTAGGAATCTCTTTAATGGTAAGAGAAGATGTTAATTTCCACCTTTCTGAAGGTTGGTAACAGCTCATTCTCCATCTCAAACATACTTGCTCGGATTGTTCTTTTGCTTGAGAAAGGTATTGGCTCTGTTTTGGATGACTATTGTTGTTGCATAACTAGATCTGCTACTTCTGCATTTGCATAGGTATTATCATCGGTTGACTTTTGTTCTGTTAGATTCGTAGGACTCCTCAAAGTTACTGAACTCTATTGACGACTGTTTGAGCAAGATATGGTCAGAACCATTTGATTGCAATTGATTTATGGTGGTAGCCAATTGTCAAAATCTGTGTTTGCAAATCTTGAATGTGTGAGTAACATTTTACTAAAATTTGATGTTAACCGTGGTCTAACCAAATCCTCCAAAAGAGGATTATTATTTTGTACAAGTTGCTTGGATTGTTGTTTTCTGAATGGAGGTGTCTGATATTTTGGAACGACAGATTGCTATTTTAGTTGTGTATTTTGCTGAGGCATATTCCGGTGCATATATTTGGTTTCATACCCTGTTACTGTAAAGAACCATAACCATGTCTCTCTGGTCTGTGTATTGTACCTATGGTTACCCATATTCATATAATTGATATTGTCGACCCATTGAATATTCTAGCAACTTCAACACTTGTATCTATTTCTTGCAAGGTATAGGACATGCACTTGAGTGTTCTCTAGAAGCTCATATGTCACAGATTCTGGCTGGTAGGCTATGATGTGTTGTCCAATGGTTTTGTTTTCCAGCAGTTGATTATCAGCAACAAAAATCACTTCATTTACTCCTTTGAAGGAACTGACCCATCAAATTCCAAATTGCTGAGTGTTTCCCATATTGGAGATTAAATTCTTGGCAGCAATGTGTTTTATCCTTAAGTTTCACCACTGACAGCATCAATTATGTTTCTATATTATCATTGATCCTTCATAAAAGTATTGATCAGTTGCTCACTGATTTAGTAACGAGGACAAATAATAAAGAACTGTTAAATCTTTCACCATATTTAAAGAAAGTCTTTCTAAATTGTTACCTTATACCACAAATCTTTTTTCTCATGAATGTCGTTTTATATGTAGGACAAAATTTCACAAAGACTTCTTCATAGTTGTCCTGTTGAAAGCTATTTGATAGCTATTTGTCCTTTGTTGCTCCATTTAGAGAAAAAAAAATAAATGTTTTTATCTTGATGTAAATCTTCAAGCAGTCTCATAGTAGAATATATAATATGAAATTGGTTAAGATTTATGTGACATTTTTCACCTACCAAATAAACCAAGGTTGATAGAGATTATCAATAACTAATTCCTTCAAGTTCCTGTTATTAGCACTGAATGAGATACAAAACTAGATTAAAAATCACTAATTCATATGTAGAATCAGTGTAACAGGATACAAAATTAGTCATCAAAATTTGTTTTAACTTATGCTAATATGCGTCTAACTATTAGTAAATCACTCTCACAATGACAACATGCATCTAACTTATCATCGTTATTATCTAACTTATCATTGTTATTATTGGGCTAAGAAGATGAAGTAAAATATTCTACTTTGTACTTCACCTTCTAACAAAATCATAGTTCTTTTAAAAGCAAGGTGTTCATGTCCAAAATTTTAATAGAATTAATTTTTGTTGAACAAGAATAAGAAGAGTCAGGTTTTAGATTATCTTTCCTCTAGGTTTTGTCAAATAATTAATTTAGCGTCCAAGTCTTTGAACTTAAGAGAAATAATACCTTATTTAAAAATTTTATTTTAATTTTTGCACTTGTTAATTACGATCAATCATGATTAGGGACAAGTAGTTCTTATTTTTATTTTCATTGTGATTCTTTAGTTCCAATTTTAAACTGAGATTCAAAGAAGAATCAATTAATAATGAACACTAATTGATCTTTATTTTGTAATATATTAATAAAATCAAACCAAATTGTAATCTCTATATGAAGTCACTCAAAAAGACTTGTTGTAGCGAAAGCAATTCCTCTGATATTAAAAACAAAATTACTATCTTCCTTTATAACATATGTTCAAGTAATCATGAATTTTGATAGAAACCTAACAAAGAAACCCTAAATCAAATAAGGAAAACAACTAGAAGCATCAAAACCAATGAAAATTCGTTTATCAGACTATATTAACATGTGATTAATCAACAACATCCATTGATCAGTCAAACCAAAAATTTATGACTATAAATTGGCACACTTTAGATACTATTTTAGAGACGAAAATAGCAATAAAAAATCGATTAGTAGTAAAATTAAAAAAATAAAATTGAGACCAATTTAGTGGCAAAAATCTAAAATTAAAAGGTAAAGAGTCTCACTTAATAAACGGGTCAAGACTTAAAAGAGAGACACCCCATTTATTAATAAATAAATTTCAACTCACTCTTCAGTAACACATTTTTAAAATAATATTGATCAAAATGTTTATAATATTACTTTCATCTCACTCTCAACTCTCAACTCTAGCATCTCCAAGTTTACTTCAATTACAATATATTAAACTCAAACTTAATTAGAATTTAAATCTAACTTAACCAAAGTATCTTCATTGACCTATGCCAATATATCCTTAACTGAGATTAAAGTCTCCTAATATGTTATATTTTGTCCTTAAAATCTTGAACTTCGAACTTGCTAAGTATCCAAGCTCAACCTCATCCAAAATATTAAAATCGTGGACCATAAGGCCTTGTAGGCTTTCTAATTCTTGGGTGTTTTTCTCTGCACCAATATGTGTAGGTCTGGGCCAGATTTATTGGACATCTTTTATGGCTATATACGAGAATGAGACCCATAATTTGTTATAATTTCCAATACATTTTAAAGTGTGTGCTTAAAAGAGCGTATTATAATTTGCAACCAAAAATTTCTCTTTGATATCATGTTATTATTTGATTTAAAATTTTCTGTAATGAACTAATTTTAATGTGGACAAATGTTTAGTTAGTAAATTTGATCCAACTAGTAAGTTACTAAATTACTTTTTAAGGATAAAATATATTGTTTTGATATGAAAGAATGTGGAATATTTTTTAACAAAAAAAAAGGATTATTTTAATAAGAGTGAAAATTGACATAGCCTAATAGAGTAGCAGAAGATATTGCAGAAAGAGGATAAAGCAGGTGGTTCTGCTACCCCACCAGCAAACTACAGATCCTCCCTTGCATTTTTCCTGTTTGATTTTTGCCCTTCAAATGTCTCTATTTAACTTGTCTTTACAGGGATTGTGTCCCACCCAAGTTTTATCACCAATGCAATGTATTTGCCCATAACACTCTTTTCCAATCATTTCAATCTCATAACTCACAATATCAATCACTTATCCACTTAACATTGCATCAAACCCTAGTGGTACTACATTTTTCAATTCCTGGGACCCAAATCATCATCACCGACAATCATCAAATTGCCATTCAACATCTCATTTTCTTCAATTATAAAACTCAGACATAGTGCTCTACCACACTTTCTACAAACTATTCAAAACTAATAATGAGTAATGTTTCATCTTTTTTATTTTAGTTTCTTACAACTTTTTAAGTATTTGTTACATTTCAAAATAATAAACCTTTTTTTCTTTTTCTTCTTAGTCATAAATAGTGACTTCAATGTACTAGAATGGGATTTTATCTTATCGTTGTCCTTGAACACTTTTGTGGACACAATTTCATTAAATTTTCCGGCAGATAAAGCAGTAACTGTCAGTGGTCATGGCTTCTTCCGCAGAGGTTGTCAACAATTTGCCTGCTTTTGACCAACACACCATTAACTTAAAGCGGTGATATTTTCAAAAATTAAAAATTATTCTACCCTTTAAATAACTCATTTTTATTAATATAATAATTTATTAAATAAATAATTTATTTTTATTAATATAATAATGTAATTTATTTTTATTAATATAATAATCTATTAAATAAATAATTTATTTTTATTAATATAATAATGTAATTTATTTTTATTAATATAATAATCTATTAAATAAATAATTTATTTTTATTAATATAATAATATAGAGAATGATTTAATAAAAATAAAGTAAAATTATTATTATAATATTAAAAGATAATAATTTATAAGAATTATATGAATTTTGGTTATTAAATTATATTTTTTTAATAAAAATAAAAATAAATTAAAATTATTATTATAATATTAAAAAAATTGTTTATAAGAATTATATAAATTTAGATTGTTAAAATATCATTTTCCTTACTTACAACCTCGACCTTTTATACTTTTGTTGAATGGGGAGAAAGAATTGAGTTCATGTGTTTTATTATTATTTTTTCTTATTTCAAATTTTTCTTTTTTATTTTTTATTTCTTACTTCAAAATCCAATATGCCATTAAAGATAACGGTTAGTTGAGTTGAGTAAAAATATATAAATTTGAAAAGATTATTTTATCAATGATTTACCTTAAAATGTAAAAGTAAATAAATTTAGGTTTTTAATTTAAAAATTTACTCAAATACCACTCAATTATATGATTTTGGAACATTATTTAATTTCGTTTTCTATACTTATTACCATAGTATTTTTTTATTTTTACTATTTTAATATGAAGTTTAACAAAGTATTGACATGTTAATATTAAATTACATTATAACTTTTTTTAAACAACGCTAATACGATTGTAAGATACAACGACGAAAAAATAAGTAAAATGATAAAATATGTAAAAAAAAATTAGGATTATATCGATCTAACTTCAAGATAATATAATGATCAAAATATTTAAACGGATGTGTTGATTATAAGATACTCAAAAATTATTTTCATAATATTTAAAAATCATTGAAATATTTAAGATAGATTCAATATAATAGTAATAAAGTAGGGATAGAATATCTCATGGATTTCGCGTAATTATTATCTTAATAATATTATATAAATAGGTTTGATATTTTTTTATTATTTATTGTATTTGTTTTATAATTTTATATAAATTGACTTAATCATCCAAAAATATGTTATAGTCTTTCTCTTTTTCATCTTCAACATTCTTAGATTTAATTATGTGTTGATAACAAAATTTAATACCCACTATGAAGTCAAAGATAGAATCTCAATTCATTCATTCATATATATATATATATATATATATATATATATATATATATATATATATATATATATATCTTTTAGTCTTAATCAGTTAATTATATTTTGGTATATTTATGAGTTCCACATTATTTAAGAATTGAGGTAAAAAATAAATTTATATACATCCTCTTATCTTAATCCAAGATACATTAAAAAAAACGATCATAATTTTAATGAGAAGATAACTCTAACGTACTAATTATACTAATAATTTTTATTATTATTAAAAAAATAAAAAAATAAATACAAAATTATTATGACTCTTAGATTATACAAATGTAATTAATCAAAAGTTTATAAGATTAATTTAATTAATGAGATAGAAGGGAATATGAACTTTTGTGAAAAAAGCAATCCAACAAAGTTTTTTTTTCTATTTTACCGTTTAACAGGATTAGCCTTTGAGTATAAATTAAGAGTATCTTTAATGCATAACAAAAAGTTAAAAAGAATATGGTTCTACATAAAAGAGAGTTTTCTTTTACACAAGAAAGTAATGTTTAAAAATTATAACGGCAAAGATGGATGAGTAGAAGAATCAAATACAAAATTATGGGGTAATCTACACACTCCTACAAGTTTTTCTTCATTTATTTGTTATACATTGTTTCATTGTTATATTGTTTTCATATGATTATGAACAACAGAAACAAAGAGTTGTCAGTAAAGTGGCCATATTGGGTTGAAGTAGCAGATCCCGTCATAACCTTCTCCTGCATTCCCTTTCATCTCTTGTACATTCCTCTGGAACACACAACCCGCACTTATGAGCATGTTAACAATTCAAGGGCTTCCTTTACATCATCTTCTCCTATTTCAATCATTTTTTCCATGACAATTTCTTAAAAAACATTTTAAAATATATTCAAATTGATTTAGAAAACCTCTGTCATGATGGAATAATATTTTTTTCTCAAATAGTAAAAGAAGAAAAAAAAATCATGATTAGTACTAATTAAAGGGTACCTGCATGATTTCAGTGACATCTATCTCAGTGGTGCTGAAATCAGAATACATACTAGCTGCCGAAAGCTTCATGGATAGAAACTGGAATAGAAAAGATCGAAAGTTTACTTTCAGTATTTTATCAGTGAAATAAGAAATCATGATTAGTACAATATTCTGACCTCAATTTGGTGCTGTAGAGATTGAACATAATCTATTATCACGTCCAACATTACTGCCATTCCCATTGACTGCAAAATCATGAGCATGGCACCAAATTATTATGACTACACAAGGACACATATATTGAAGAAAGATGTTATATATATGGTAAAAAAGGATGTATGATTCTGATCCATATAAACCTTATAGCACCCTGGAACCAACTCCTGCAAATATCTCATCTTCTCATTGATTTTTTCTCTTCTCACCTGTCATCGAACAAATCCCACCACCATATTTAGGTCGATCATTACTAAAATATGCAGTTCTTGCGTTCTCAATTTCGTTATTTAGTGGATTCCAGAATACGTTACGTTCTCAAGAAAATACATAATACTGAGACTAAATTTAACTACCCTTTCTGCTAAACTGTGGCTATCAGTTGCTTGGCCTCTCTTTGCCCTTACGTGGATAACTTCATCTCCTTTCTCTTTAAGCCTATCATTGTTTCTCTTCCTTTTGCTTCCAACCAGATTCTGTAAAATGCAAAAAGTAGAACATAATAACAAAACCAAAACTGTTGTTAACCCTCTTATTCTTGCTCACCAAACTTTATTTTGTCATAAACTTCAAATATAGAAAATATGTTTCCCGAGTTGACAATATTTTATATACCTTACTCTTTTGAGCGCAGCCAGATGATGAAGGAGGAGAAGGATCATATTTGGTATTGTAGACAGAGGGTGATGGAATCTGTGTGATAGGATTATGGTAAGCCTCAGAATGAGTGAAGGTCTGCACGGTTTGGAGGTGTGGCTGTTGATCCAAAAGGTTATCATTGTTGGAGAAAGGCATGATGAGTTCTTGATTGGTCAAGGTATAATCCTCCACCTTGCTCATGGTTCACAAGTTTGACTTCTTTTCTGTGAAAAGTGTCTCAGGATCATTCTGTTTAAATGCCCTTCCTAGGATAACTCAGATTAAACATAACAAACATTCCAGAAAGTTAAGTAATATAACTGAAATAAGCCAAATATGGTTTTATTTCCTAAAAAGCTCAAGAATTTTCTATTTAGTTCTTCATTTTTATTTTTATTTTGCAATATTTATATATTTTATATTTGGCCCTGAAAAATATTTGTTTATATTTTATTCTTATCATCATATAATTTTTTATAAAATAAAAAACATATTTAAATAACAATATACGTGGAATACAATTAATCGGAGCCTACCTGGTATGGTATTATTGTATAAGTGATGAATTAATGTAATAATAAAGGGTACAATGATGAATTAATTTAATAATATATTTTAGAATTATTTTATTCTATTTCACATTTTTATATTTTCCTATTTTTCTTCTCCTAATAGAAAAAAGTTAAATAATTATACCTCCAAAATGTGATCTATGTTGAAATCAATACCTTTGAAATTATCAGGATTAAAAAAGATATTAATTTGAATAGGAAAAAATTTCCAAATTACAAATATTATTTAACACAGGTAAGTGTAGAACTATTTTTATTTTTTTTGGTGGACCTACAAGAACATGATTCCATAGGAGTAGATAAAGATATGTTGGTAATGCTGTTTAAGATATTAATGTCAATGCAAACATTGGAGGCATCAAAGTATGGTTTCGATCGTTGAGGAATCAAAATCCCCAATTGGTCCCTACATACCTCAAAAATGAGTTCGAAGGTGCAGTGTACTCTTCCAATAAGTTCGAGTATGGAGGGTCCAGTACGTAACAACCACCAGTGTATATCCTCATGTGATAAAACTAGACAAACATTTTCTCAACTATATTATAATAAAATGTTCAAAAGAATATTAATTTATGGTTATTGAGAAATTGAAATATTTTATGACAAAATATTTCAAATCGTTAAATTTTGATCTCTGGAAGTATCAAATCAATTTAGCAAAAAAAAAAAAAAAGTTATCGCTAAATTCAGTTTCTAATATAATGAAAAAGATAAAATAAGTAGCGGCGATTTTTCTTCTTCTAATCTTATAACAAAAGTTCAAACAATTAGTGACGGTTTCATCCCATCACTAAATATTTAACTTATACAAACAGTATAACGATAAATAAAATTGGTCACAGTTTTTTTATAGCGTCCAAAACTTTAAATCATTAATATATTCAAATCTATATATTTGAGGCATATATTACTTAATCGATGATTGCCTTACTTCGGTTATATTTGTAGCAACAATAATTATTTATAGAAAGCCAAGTTAAAAGATAACGGACGCATTTTTTCCACTATTGTTTAGTATTAATAATTATTTATATACAATACACGGGTCTCCTAGGGTCTGAGCATGGTCATTGAAAGGGTAAGAAACTCGAAATCTAAACTCAAACTGTGGTCGTGAGCTCAATTTGGTTCCCATCTGAACTGCTATCCCCTTTGTCATGGACCTGAATTGGCTTGTAAGTGTACAATTTAGCACAAATCAAGTAGTAAATAAGATTGAAAAACTGCAGTAACGTGATGAGCCAGTAAAAGTACTCCAACTTCCCCTTGTTGAGGTTGTTATCAGGGAGCCAATTTGAGCCATCAGGCCTAGCACTGAACTTGTGCACCAAAGTAACCAAAAGGGTACTAACATAGTTCCCAACAGAAATTGCAGTCCAAAATAGTGCCATGGCAGTGCTCCTCATGCTCTCTGGGGCCTGGTCGTAGAAAAACTCCAAGTGCCCAATGGACATAAAGGCCTCAGCCATTCCATGAAGACTGTACTGTGGCACAAGCCAGAACACTGAGATCGGGATTGTGGTATGTGGGTGGTCAAAAAGCCCATGGGCCAAAGCTGCCTTCTTTCTCTTCATTTCAATAAACCCAGCAACCAATGTGGCCAAGGTTGAGATCACAAACCCAATACCCATTCTGTGAAGGAAGCTTATGCCACGGTCCAGCCCAGTGAATCTTCGGGCCACTTTGATGAAGACTCGGTCATAGAAAGCAGTGGTGGTGAGCATGGTGAGGATTGTGAACACAGACATGGACCCAGCTGGGATTTGAAAGGTTTCGGTCAGGTGTCTGTCCATGGTTTTGGCTTGTTGGAGAGAGAATGTGCTTTGTTGGGCATAAGCTGTGATGAGAAGAATGCCCGAGGCCCATATTGGTCCCATCCTGATTATGGACTTCAATTCCTCCACTCTATGCACTGTGTTTAGCCTCCATAAGTTGGGTGTTTTGCTGTCATCTTCTTCTGTCACAACTGCTGCCTTGTCCAAAAATCTGTATCATCAATTTTCATGATGAAATGTTGATTTAGTTATGAAATAGAAAAACTCCATTCACAATTGGAAGCTGCATTTGTAGAAATTAAGATTGTTTTAAGAATCTGCTGTTTAAATTGATAAAAAGAAATGACAACATAAGACTAAAATACAGTTTTGATATCTCATCAAAATCATTAGTTTTGTTAATGTAAAAAAAAAAATCTTAAATGACAAACTTTTAACCTAAACTCAGTTAAAACCCTAGTTGGACAGCAGTGAAAACAAAAGGATAGTTATTTTATGATTTCATATAATCTCTAGACACTGTTTGGCAGTCGGTGAGGTGGGGACTAGAAAGGCGTATGTTTCCAAATCGAATTCTTAGCAATGAAGATCAAACAAAACATTAAACTGTTGTGTTGTGTGAACAAAATCATTGATGTGATAAGCTACGAACAACGTTAAAAATAAAAAATAGATATTTGAGGCACTTACTTCATCTGTCCACTATGAAGAAGTTTCCCTCCCAACGAAATAGAGGAATCAAGTTCATCATTTTGGTAGAGTAAACTAGGGTTTGACACATTTGGCACCTTCCTCTTCCGAATTGCCGCCACAGCCACCTGTGCCAATCGGGTAAACGGGCTCCCTGCCGGGTTCAAATTCCGGTAAAGCGGGTACCCGATAATGAAGGCAATGATTGAGAGGAGCATCGCAACGGTGGGGATCCCGAGACCCAATCCCCATCCAATGTTATCTTGAATGTAAACCAAAACAGTCACAGCCACAAGAATCGCTGCACCCATCACAAAATAGTACCAGTTGAAGTAAGTCCAGGTTTTCGTTGTCTGCTTGGGATCCGACTCGTCAAACTGGTCCGCCCCGAATGCCACGATGCAGGGTCGGATTCCGCCCGACCCGATAGCCCCCAGGAGGAGTGAGACATAGAGCACTGCCAGCTGTCCTGCACTTGCTTGTTGGCACACCTTTTCACCTCTGCAAGGAGGTGGCCTAAACTGTGGGAGCACTGCTGAGAGTGTCAGACTAATCATCCCCTTATTAGTTACACAAAAGGTCACAAGTTAGTAAAAAGTTGCATGTGTAAGCACGCATTTAAGGGCAAAAACAGTTATTGTCACATGACGTGTTTGTTCAGCAAAAGAAAATCATTTATAATGTAAGTTATTCCATTCAAACCATTGTAATTGTTAACCATTAGGTTTCTCCATCTAAATTAGTATCACTTTAAAACATTCAACTCCTCTTTATCATGATTTTTTATTATCATAATAATTATGTTTATAAACTTTATATTTTATCATCTATTTCTTTGCTAAGGTGGAACTTATGAGTGCAAGGAACAAATATTAAATTGAACAAATCTTTACCTACTTTCATGTTTTTACTGTATATCTAACCATTTGGATTAGACTAAGCAGCATCTATCATAATTTTTAATTAATTGCAGGTTACCATTGTGCCTTTTGCCAAGTTCTAACATCTGTAGATATCCTCACGTGAAAAAAGTTATCTGTATATTAACAACTAAGCTGGTATAACATTGACAGTCGCACAAAGATTAGACAAAATCCTATGTATTTTCTATAATTAAATATGATATGTGAATTTTGATATACAGAGAGACAACTATAGATATAATAGGTGATGTAATTTAATATGAATATATATATATATATAGAGAGAGAGAGAGAGAGAGAAATAATAGATATTGATAAAGTGTATCCGAGTGATGAAGTGTTCGAATATCATTTCTCTATCCATATCTCTTCATTAGATTGGAAAATTTAATGGTAAGGATACAAAGAAAGTGGTATGAGTTTTATTGTGACAGCAAGAAGTTTGAAATCTGAGTTGTAATGCATGTATAATGCTTCTAAATTCTCTTGAACTTAAGAAAGAGTTAGGAGAGGGTGTTTACTAGCTGGTATATAATGGAAGCACCAGTAACAGTCCAGAACTTTCCAGCAAAAGAATCAGCAATGAAAGCACCAAGCAAAGGTGTCAAGCTTGCAGTTCCACTGAAGTTAGTGAGAGTGTTAGCAGCTTTGGTTAATGGCATATGAAGCTGTGTGGTCAAGTAGCTAATCATGTTGGTATTGAATCCCACCACAGCCAGCTTCTCACAAATCTCATTAGCTGCACCAAAACAAAACAATCCAAAGTTTACATATCAGATCCAAAACTGTATATTTAGAGCACTGGTGTGTTATGAGGGGCTAGGTAGCATAATTTGCATTCTAATAATGGAGGCATATAGTTTCTACATAGTTTGAGGCTTACCAAAGATGAAGGGCATTGTGATGAGCCCTCCCTTTTTCCTTCTAGCATGGTTTTCCTTCTGCTCCATCTTTTCAAAACCGCTTTCGCTATTCGTGTTCTAGTACATAATATGGCCTCAAAGTTGAGTACTTATAGCCTAAACTTGAGGTTTGGAGGATTTAAGTTTGTCACAGCAACCATGTTGTCAAGCGTTCACACCAGCACTGTTGGAGTTATGGCCACAAATTTTTTTCTACTAAAAAATAATTTGGTTGTAGACAAAAAGAGGACTTATCTGATTAAAATCAAATTATGAAATTACAAATTTGATACAATAATGGTTGGCAGGCGTGGGACAAGAGGATTTTGTCATATACACATTTTTTGCCTCCCAACTTGCAATGTATATATAATGTACTAATATTATGGTATGGATATTATAGAATTAGACGAGGAACTGAAATTATTTTCTTATATTATTTTGCTTTTGATGAGTTGGCCTCTTTAACTTTTTCATTCTTGGTACAATAATTGCGGCTGAATCCATGTATATGCTTACCTCTCTTTTTTCCCTTGTTCAAACACAACTAAATATTTATTCAGTAAACGGGTATGTTCGGCATACGGTAAGATTTTCTTTTTGCACGTGACTATTTCATTTTAAAGTTATTTTTTACTTCTTCTTTTTTATTAAACCTAATTTAACCAATCTTTCTTAATTAAGTGTCAAAACTTTGTTTTTTTAAACCGTAAATACTAATATATTCATTATATATATATATATATATATATATATATATATATATATATAGTATGTTTTAATTGTTTTCTGCAAGGAAAGTAAAAAGTGAAAACAGCCTGATGAAAAAAATATATATTTCTTGTTAGGTACAAGAAAAAAATGGAAGAAAATATGTCATTCTTTATTTTACATGTTTTATTTTTTTACTTTATACAAAAAATATAAGATAATTATTATTTTACAAAATTATTCTCATTTAAATAATTATTTATTTATTTTTATGTTACAATTTTAATTTATAAATATACATTGATTTCTAATTATATTATTTTAATAGAATTATGAAAATAGTTATAAAAATTAATTAATAATATAATAATTATATATTTTATATACTTTTATAATATGATATTATTTTATCAATTTAAGTTTAGACATTTTTAGAAAAAATATAATATATAGTTATATTTCAAAATATATATTGTTGAAAAAAAAATGTAAAAGTTATTTCACTCATAAAAAATTAATTAATAATTATATAAATAATTTTTGTATCAAATAAATATTTATTTTAATTTATTTATTTACTATTTTTTAGATTGACATTTTTTTCTTTTTCATATTAATTTTTTCTCAAACAAGTATATTTTTATTTTATATCATTTTTTTTACTACCAAACGAAACATTAAAGCACAATACATGTCTATCATAATAAAAAATATTATACTTTTACTCGGAAGGTAGAATATCTTATTTTTATAGATCAAGTTATTACGGATGGTAAAATGGGTTAGTCTCTCTCGTCTTTGGCCCGTTATAGTCTTGACGAGATGTAAACATTAGTCCATCCCTGCCAGGAAACGAGTTGGTGGGATGTCCCGCCATAATTTAAAAAAAAATAATTTATTTTTTAAATTAAACTTTTCAATAAATTTAATAATAAGATTATTATTTGTTTTTCAATAATTCAATATATATATATATATATATATTATTCAATTTAATAATATAAATCAATATATTGTTTTAAGAAATTATAATTTAGAACAATAATAAATTTACATAATAATAAATAATAACAAATATATATATATATATATATATATATATATATATATATATATATATAACGTTAGAACTTATATTTTTTATATTGAAAAATTCAAATACCTATATCTTTTTTATTTGATAAAATTTTACATTGTTCTTGTTTGAGTAATTCTTACACTTAATTCAAGTCATAAGGATAAAAATAATCGAGTACTTATGATGAACAATGAGAATAAGAGAGAGAAACTTATATTTCATTAAGGAGAATATTTTTGTAAAAGTGAAATTTTTTTAATTATCTTTTTAAAATTTTTAACTTTATATATTATCTTTATAATTAACTTTATTATAATAAAAAATTTTATTAATTAAGTAGGTCGCAGGCTGGCCCACCCCATCCTCGCGGATTAACCTGACCGGTTGGCGGGCTTGGCAGGACCAGACTAGAACGAGCTGACGGCCGACCACCGAACTTGACCCATTTTACCATCTACCAGTTATTGATAATAATAAAAGAGGATGTAACTTTAATTATTTAAATAAATAAGAGTATATTAAATAGATGTTATTTATTGAAATAATTTAAATAAAGTATTAAAGTATCAGTATTTTTAAGAAAATTTCTATCCGACATGGCGTGCATTGTTTATTTTTTTGTTAAAAAATAAATAAATAAGAAAAAATAATAATTTTTCTTAGATTTCTTAAAAATAAAATTTACTCAAATAAAATTAATTATGTGTTGCTCAAATATGATATGATATAAATTTATATAAAATTGTTTTTATTAAAGATGTGTCTTAATAAAATAATAAGAATATATTTTTATATAGATTTATTTATAATCTTATATTTTTATTAGTTATATAATTATATTAATTTTTCGTTGTAATTATAATTTAATATCATATTAAAGAGATAATTAATTTGTTAGACATTATTTTTGAATAAATATTAGATTTATTTGTATAAAATAATTTATAATATTTTTGAATTATAAAAAATATTATAATATTTAAATATAACCTATTAACGTATAATTTATTTAAAAATATATATGACGTATTAAGCAAAATATAATGAGATATGATTATATATAAAGTTATTCTTTTGTTTTAGTCAAAACTTTTAGGATAATTTTGGGAACCCTAGTTAAAGCATTTAGAATTTGTTGGCTTTTAAAGCTAGTTTTCTTACCTATTTAAATACGAATTCCATTAAAACTGATTCTACTAGAATGTCCTTTCTCCTTAGTGTTTTTTATATTCCTTGATGATGTGTCCTAGCAACTGTTAGTGGAAGGACACACATATATCATGGGCATTGCAAGTAAATAGTAATTAGAGGTCGTGAACTTTAGGTAGGAGAATTGACCCTTAATTAAGGGTAGGCATACTTTAAACTACGTGATTAAAGTGAGCATTATTTACCATTTTCTATGTCATACGTTGGCATACCATCTCTTTTAATAATACATATTAATAAAAATAGATAATATATTTTATTAGCTCTCATTTTTTTTATTTTTTAATAAAAAATGAATTATTTTAACAAAATAATTATTAAACAGTTTTTTTTTAATTTTCAAAAAATTTGATGCATCTTCAACTAACATAAAAAATGACGAGATGATAATATAAAAAATCTACCATGTCAATATATTCTAATTAATTTTTTATTCTTTTATCCAGTTTGGTACGCTGATCCAAAAATAGAAGAAATAAGTAAGACACGTGAACATGTACTGTACCAGCTCAATCTTGAGAAGGGGAAAAAACTTGTTTTTTTTTTATCCCTCGTATATGCAATAAAAATGAATAATTAAGTAATATCATGATACTAAACTACCATATCTAATTTACTAGGATTTAATAAAATGTAAATTTTGGGGATAGATCATTGTTTTAATTCTTGTATATTTAAATTGGTGAAAACTTGAATTATTAAGTGTGGTTTTTTGTTTTTAAATTCAATGATAAACTAATTACTAAAATTTTACAAATTAATTATATCAAATTAATTTCAAAATACAATTTGGCGCCAAAATTGTTTTTAAACATTATAATATAAGGACAAAAAAAACATCCAAATTGCATTAGAATTCGTGGTGAAGTTTTATGATAATATTGGTCGAGAAGTTTTAAACATTATATTAGTCGAGAATTTAAAATATTATATAATATTTTTGTAATTTAAAAAAAGTAGTTATGTAAATAGAATATAATTTAGTTGAAATTATATTTTAATTTTATTTGGTTAAATTATCAATTATTGATATTATGGATTTCGTTGCATGTTTTAGGGTCTTAATTAATAATTAATTTCATTGCATGCCCTAGTATAATTTACAAGCAACGGTGGATCCGATCCGATTCACCTAATGGAAGAATTCCAAATCAAAGGAAATATTTGAACTTGTAAGTGTCCCTCACTCTCTATTATAATTTATTATTATTTGGTAAAAGAAAATTATCAGGTTAAAATAATTTATAAATTAGTAAAATGACATAACAAACTTTTTTTATTAGTATGAGTTATATAATTGGATAAAAATATTATTTAGAATCAACTATAATTTTTTTTAGATATTAAATTTCCTCATAATTTTACGGTCTCTTAATAATACTATCTGTTGTGATGGTAAACTATTAAAAATAATATTACTAAAATATATAATTCAATCTTATAAAATCAATTTTATATATAATGAGAATTATATTCACTTAATCGATGTGAAATTTTATTACTATCCTCATTTTAGAAAATATTTTTTCTATCACATGTTCGTCACTTGGAGGAGGATTCATAACACATAGCGTTCCAAAGCTATGTAACATCAAGTTGGATGAGATCCTTGTTAATGAAATCATATCTTTATTGCATCTTAAGATAATATTAGTCACCCTCAGAAAATTTGTTTCTGGTTGGACTTCGAAAGGAAGACTTCGCATTATCAAAATTCTAAACAAAATCTAAGGTTACAATAAAATTAAAAAAAAAAAAAAAAACACATTATTCGGCTTCCATTGATGATTTTGTGTTTTATTTTGACCAACCTGGTCTAAGTGGGTTGATTAAATGGGGCTCGAGAAAGGGACGTGATGGACCAAATGGTGCTTGGAACTGACCATGATCAACCCACCACTACAAGCACCTTCACACTCTGATTTTGATGTTTGTTTTGTCATGTTGACATGTGTAAGTAATATCACGATGAGAAGGATCTGGCTTTGGGACCAAAAGGGTGACGAATGGTGATCACACTCTTCAAATTTAAGGCAGAAACACAGATCAC